ATGCGTCGGGTCTCACTACCTGAAATGGTGGACAAGGAAAAACTATGAGATAAAATATCTCAGTAAGTAAAACATGGAGTGCCCTTATTAAACTTGTAGCATGCCAACAAATGTAATCATGAAAACGGATACAGTACGGGAACGAAATAGACGTCTCCTCTATAGGTCACGGCCAGTGTTATAAACCTCCCACTGGCGGGCTACAGAAATTACTAGTGTTTAACCCCCACTAGTAGGGTTACAGAAACGAACCGGTTCTATCAGAAACATGTCGACATGTGCTAGTGTTTAACCCCCACTAGCAGGATTACAGAAACATGTGCTAGCGTTTAACCCCCACTAGCGGGATTACAGAAATAACATGACCATATCGGAGACAAAACAGGCTGAAGTTAACAGAAAATCATTCTTTACAAATAACTTTCAAGTCATCAGGACAATCACATGAACTTCAAGTAGGCATGCTCAATTTCATGAAAAGCACAAAACATTTCACTTCAAATCAGTCATGCTCGTGTAAAACGGGTTTAGTCTCGCCACCACTTCAAAAACAAATCAAAACATGCTTTTAAAACAGTACGGGCATTATCATAAATTTACTTACCTTAATCACGCAGACAAAAGGCTTAATCCAAGAGCTAGGGTCTCAGGCAAACAAGGACCTAATCACAATATTCCCAAATTAATATCTATGTATATACAATTACACAATCACACTTATACAATTTTCAAACTCACGGACAAGAATTTGGGAGAACCGGCCTTGACAAAAAATGGCAAATTCACAGAATTCTCCCCTTTTTCTCTTGGACACACACACAAAAGCCAAACCCCCTAATTTCCTACACAAATCCTCAACCAAAACCCATTTTCAAATTGTCAAAACTCATCCCTATTTCAACAAAATTTTCGGACAACCCAAGCCCATTTCATACAACCACTTAAACTCACAAATTCAGCACTTAATCCACCAATTTTCAAAGATTAGAAAAGCCAACTTACCAAAAATCCCCAACAAGCAAAGTTGGAGCTGGCGGTTATGGGAGGAGCCGGCGGGAAAAAATTGGGGGACTTTCACGGGGCCACTAGCAATTAAAAGAACAACGAGATTAGAGTGACCTAACATAAATCAAGGCTGAAAAGAGGAGTTTCTGGGCTGATTTTACCAAGAAAACCAGCAGCAGCCGGCGGCAGAGGGGAAAGAAGCAGAGCAGATCCGGCGGCTTTTCTGCAAAAGAGAGAAGTTCTAAGTCCTAGACTTGTTCTTGGGTAAGAGGGGAACAAAATCATCAAGTTCTCTTACCAATTTGCAGATGGGGACGCTGGAAAATGGCTGGGTTCACTTCGGCTGCAGCAGGGAGAAAAACAGAGCAGACGCGAAAATGGCTGGGAGAAGGAAGGAAAGAAAAGAAAAAGGAAAAAGAGATGAGTCAGCCGGCCTTATCCAATAAGAGTTTTAACCCCTTTAAGGTTTGAAAAGTTGACAGTTAGGTCCATTAATGATGTTTCTTCATCATTTAGTCCCTAACTTAGCTTAATGTGCTTGAAATTTTTGGGGTATTACA